TTTCCATACTATTTTTTATTAAACTTTGTAAAACATCGTCAAATTTGTTGTTTGCCGACAGTTTATTGACAGTTTGAAGTAGGTGGCTGAAAATGGAAGTAAATTGAAATGAACATTCATTCAACTACAGAACTTGAATCAGGGCAAGTAACGTCATCGATTTAAGTCATTTGCCTAGCTGTTTGATCAAATGGCTGAATTACATTCCGGCTGCAAGTTAAACGGCGCTGTTTAGTAAAGAGGCTAGGCTGTTAATTGAACGGCTAATTAAGCTAGTTGGCTGCGACATATACATAACGCTGAACCAATTAAGTGGTAATAATATTGGCCCAACTACCTTTTTGTTCTTGTATTACGTCTGTTTTTTTTAAGATTTGTTAGTAGTGTTACAGATCAGTTTTAATTATTTATTCAAAGAAATTTAGCAATGCCTAGTTATTAAATTGAATTAATAATATAATAAAATAATTATTATTCATATTAATTAAAAATTGAATAATATACTAAATATTAAATATTGTTAAATTATTAACGCTAAATATTTATTATTAATTATTTAATATTAAAAAAATAAAATAAAGAAAGCCAAAGAAGTATAACTTCTTACGCGCGTACATAAGTACACGCACCATTTTTTTTTTAATTAAGTCTAATCACCGTGAGTCGTTTATGAGGAAACTGAATCCTAAACATATTTAACATCGTGTTAATTTTACGAATAATCGGTAGTTAGCAGTTAGTTATACGTGTATCATTAAGGGAAAACTTGCAGATTTGTGTTTTGTTTTGGAACCCGGAGGCATCGTTATTTCTTTTTCTGTTACTTATGAGTTCCATCAATCTTTTACTTCGAAAGAACATCATTAATTATTGTTCATGTTCTGTATCATTTCCTGTTGGTATAACTGGGGTAGTTTGTCCGTGACTTCGTCCACTTTAATTTAGGTTTAATATCCTTATTTATTATCTTCGTACTAAATCGAATTCTTCTCAATAAAACTATTATTAGTCCTAAACAATACTGAATTATTGATCCGATTTTGAAATTTAGTTTTTGCTATGAAATTTCGAACAGGCGTTTCATAAATTGATTCCTTACTTTTCTAAAAAAAATCAGTGGCACTACAACCTCTTTAGGTCTCAGATTTCTGATTCATGATCATTTTTAAATCTCATAGGCAAGTAGGTGATCAGCCTCCAGTGCCTGACACACGCCGTCGACTTTTTGGGTCTAAGACATGTCGGTTTCCTCACGATGTTTTCCTTCACCGTTCGAGCAAATGTTAAATGCGCACATAAAAAGAAAGTCCAGTGGTGGACAGCCGGGGATCGAACCTACGACCTCAGGTATGAGAGTCGCACTCTGAAGGCCAACACAACACTAGGCCAACACTGCTCTACTTACTTTTCTAAAGCGACATAAAAAAATTGTGCGTGTACTAGGTGTACACACGTAAGAAGTGAAACTTCTTTATGATCTTATTTTTCGAAAAATGATCTGCTATATGCAACTTTACAGAAATTCGTTAAATTAGATAAAGTTTAACAAAAGGCTTTTATTATCATAGACATGAATACAAATATTTCATTTTACCTTATTACTACGAAGATTATTATAGAATTTCATTAATTGTGATAGAATAATTACTATCATTGAAAAACGTGACGATTTGCTACAAAATTTCTCCCATACGTCGATAAAGAAGTTTCATTCAAACGCCGATAAAGAAGTTTGACTTCAAAAAGCAACATGGCGCGTAACCCAAAAATGTGACGCGTAACGAAAATATGTTACACTAAATTTTTTTCCAACCTCGATAAAGAAGTTTCACTTCAAAAAAACTTGGGAAATTACATTACTTACATTCAATTATGTAATAATAATATATTATACATTAACAAGCACCTAATTTTCAATATGATTCAACTGCTTGTACTTCACTACAATACATACGCATGTTACTAAGAATGAAAAAAGGTACACTCACTTTAATTCCAACCTAAATGGCGGATTCTTGACCAGTATAACCATTTAACGGCAGGCCCAAAGGCCCCAGTGGCTGTTGACGAGATGTGGAATATATGCTCAGGAGTCAGAACACGAGGGGGACGATAGCTGGCAATGCGTCATACGCGTGAAAGAGTGCTACTTGTGGTGACTGTGCGGACTGTGCGATGTTAGTTATTTCGACTATGTATTTGCATGTTGGTCCCTGGAGAATGTAAGTGCGTGCTCCTATTTCACCATGAATACTGTTGATAGAGAACAAATCTATGTTTTTTTGATATAATTATATATATTTTTTATTATGATAGTTATACTATAATAATAACTTGACGATGTCATGTGGGATAGCAGCAGTTGCAGCTCCTAACAAACATTTTGTAAAACAAAAAACTTGGCGATTAAAAAGAGTGGCGGAGAGTTTATTGCCAGTCCTTCCCGTTCGTTCTACGCCCTTGATTTGAGAACTGGCAGTAAAATTAGAAGCATTTAATATGTATTTCTTTATTGACGTTCATCAGTGTACAATGTGTTACCTAAATAAATAAATGATTTTTGAATTTGAAATTGAAAATCTGTGACGGAGTCGCTACATAAGAATTAGCCAGCGCCTTTACTATTCAAGATTATTCAAATTAATGTATTAGCATGGTTTTGCTTAGCTAGTGATTATATTGATATTATTAAATTGTCCTAACACCAAACAGACATTCAATTTCGATTCTTTTCACCAAATACCTTACAGCACTTGGTGGTTGACTTGGTGATTTAAAAGCCACATTTCTCCAATTTCAAGGCAGGTGATCGCTTACGGCAGAGGTGAGACAAGGGTTGACAGGGCAGTAATCACTAAGAAACGAAATAAGCTCTCGGAGTCTCCATAGCAAACTTAATTCTAGAAATGTATTTTATTGGAGGAGTCTTTTACCCTGAAATGTGCACTTTTTTGCCAACTATTAAGTTAAGATTAATTGTTTTGTTGAAGAACTAAGATTCTCAAACCAATATCAGAATATAAAAATATAATTGTTCAGTCGTTGTAATCTACATTTTAATGTGTAAGATTGGGAACCCTTTTAAGTAAAAATATACCTGTGGTTCCAGCTTTTTCATAGTAAAATTAATACTAAATTCAAATAATAAATACTAAAGTCAATAATTAATACTAAACTCAGGCCTTACCGTCTGACGGACGACAACATCCCTATTTATTTTTCGATTCAGCCTACGACCTTGAGGGAGCGCTCTGTGTGCTTTAAAAATTATATTTAGGATATATACAGCTTCCATACGGAAAGTAAGACAATACGATTCATATTCTAGTACCTAACAATTCTATTACACTTATAGTCCTCGTTTTTGGCTATATCTCCTAAACTATCCATCGTACAAAAAAATTTGTAAGACATCTTGTAGCAACTTGCTTTGCCTATGAGGTAGAGTCTATTGAAGCGTTTTTTTTACGTGGCATCCCCAGTAGGCCTATTCCACATACAACTTGCTGTTGAGGTAATCTTCGACATAATTATATGATCAATCTGTTATTAGAATGGGGTAACTAGCTATCCCATTTTACTCTTCTTCGATGGTTCATGTCAACGTCAAATGTGAAAGTTGGGGAATGACAGGAGTTAAAGTTGGAGTCATTGTTGGCAATTCTTCTTCTATTAATTTTGTTATTTCCATATTGTTGGTTATTTCAATGGACTATTAAATAAATACGTTTTACAGTATTTCAATAGACAAAAATAAATAAAATAGTAAGTTGGCTCTTTAGCTAAGCGCAATTCACTTATGGACCCTAAGGTGCAAAACAGTGTGGAAACTAGTACTTCTCTCACACGCGTACCAGACAAAGATGATAATAAATATTGTAATAATAACTCATTTTTGTGTCACACTTATCATACACGTAAAAGTATATATAGGTATCTTAGGTGATCAATAAACCTTATGCAGATATCTATAGCTAAGGCCGGTAAGGCCATGAAACTGATCAAATCGCGCCAATAAAACTTATAAATAATTTACAATATTTTAGCACATTCTAGTCCCTAAAAGCCTAATTTCCTTTACTAATGTCTAACGTTAAAGCCTTAATAGCAGAACCTTTGATAGAAAATTCAAGGATTAAACTATAATAAACTGGGAAAGTAGTTCATTTGCCTTAATGTCAACGTTTTAAAGTATTATCGGGTGTATAAAATGCAAATTGTTCTCATTAAAGATAACACTTAATATATTTCTGTTTCGTTTATCGTATTTAGTATGGAGTTTTTGTTTGATACGGTGATGATGTTCCCACTATTGGGTGTGCTTTCTGCGACAGGTAAGATTTAAAAAAAGAATCTGTTTTGCACTGTTCTGTCATACACGGTCTTCTACCTTCTTAGCTTAGTTAAGTTATCTGTAAACTACAAGTTAAAGGTGCTAAAGGGTAATTAACATAAATTGCGCAGGCGAAACAGGTGGTGTTAATAAGTAATTTCTATAGTTGATTCAATTGATTACAATTAAAAGTTGTATTCTTTAAGTGAAATCGTAATTCTGTTGTTCACAAAATCATATTTTTATAAGTCCACGGCAATAGACCTCTGTCGAAGTAGACATGGGGAGAAATAAGCTGTGCCAAAAATTAATCTGCATACAAAATGGGTTTTGGCATTCAAGGTTTATAACAATGTACCAAAACAGTTTGATTTGATAACGTAATAATATTTTAATGTGATGTCTTATCACTACAAATAATATGTATATGCCTCATAATACATGTAACTTCTATATAAAAAATTTTAAGACAAATTTGCACGCAATATGTGTAGCAGAATATTCGAACTTTTGTTTGTAGCACCATAACATTTTTGTACCATACTCTTGCAAATATAGTATTATTATTATTAGAGTATTTTTAGACATTCTCTTCATAACTTACGTATATAGACTCGCGAAACGTTTAGTTTAATTAAATTTGTTTTACAAAGCATTAATATCAAACATGGATCTATCATCTCGCATGGCTGGTGGAAGTACAGCTGATTATACACCTTGGATAGCGATGTTATCTTACGGAGATGTGAATTCGAGGTTCCAATGCGGTGCCTCCATTTTGACTGAAAGACATCTTTTAACGGCAGCTCATTGCATCAGTGCTGCATATGTCAATGGGAGTTTAACGAGGTAAGTTATCAATAAAATGTGTTCAGATTTGAACATTGACCAACTCCCACCACCACAACCAACAAGACTGACGTGGTTGTTCCTAACTTTGACAGCTGAAGGTGCGCGAAACACCGACAGTTCACAAGAACAATACTATGTATGTGTGAATAGGGCGGCGGCGGTTGCGGCGCGGGAGCGGGCGATTGCACCTCTCGTTACCCGCCCTCGCGCCGCGGCTGCGACGCCGCTGTTTTCGAGAACCGGTCCATTTGATTTTACGCATAAGATCCTGCCGCTCCCGCGCCGCCGCCGCCGCCCCGCTGCCCGCAAAATTCGAGGCAGCAGCCTAAGTATTTAGGATATTGTTTTATAACAATAAATCAGATTTGAATATTGCTCTGTCTTATTCATTTCTCGCTTTCTCTCAAAGTATCGAAAACTCCTTCAAGGCCTTAATTATCGTGGTGAGCCTGCCCGATAGCTTTGAGATAATCCCATCACCTTGAACCTTGATCCTACCCTTGCTCCGTATGTTACCTTAGGTCTCTTGTTCATCCCGTACTTATTTTTATATTTATATGTTCATTATTTATGTGTTAGGGCTTAGGCGCCTGTTACACGTAAAGTATTTACTGTGATTCGTCATTTCAGTATTTGTTGATAGATATCTGCTTTTTATGATGGATTAACACACCAGACACACGTTCCATATTTATCATAGTCCGGTTTCTTGCTGAATACAACCAAATGCTAAAATAATGTGGCTATTATTTTAGCATTTGGTTGAAAAAAAAAGTTAAAAGAAGACGATGGTCAAAAATCTGATACCTACAAAGAGAAAGGTACAAATTTAAATTTAATGGCCAAAATTAAACTACATGGCGAAATATAAAATTTAAACTAAATTTAAATTTTTTAATGATGATTACTGCCCTGCGATTCTGTAACTCACTTTTCGAACTCACACAGCGATTTTCGCATCGGCGGTCGCTCTCAAACCAGTCGTGAAGCAGTCATTTTATGATTTGGCATTCTAATAAACAATAAACTACATGCTCCCACCTTTTCAGAATGCCAAATCATAAAATGACTGCTTCACGACTGGTTTGAGAGCGACCGCCGATGCGAAAACCGCTGTGTGAGTTCGAAAAGTGAGTTACAGAATCGCAGGGCTGCTTTGAAGAACTTCTAACAATGGTAACACCATTTTCAACAAAACAGGATACAGTGATGAAATTACTTCATGAGAAAAATTTGCAATAACTTTGCATTACTTATCAAGAGGAAAGGACTTTAATAACGTAAGGTTTTCGGCTATAACTCGCATCAATAAGCCAGGTCATCATGGATACTTGCGAAACGTTGATATAATAATGTTCAAAATATTTATCACATTCTGAAGGATCGGCAATACGGAATCAAGAAATCTAGAAATCCATTATTAAATATTGCCATTCATCAGTACGCTAGTTACACGTTCAATAAATACTATGATACATGAGTATTTATTGGCGAAACACAGTAAATACTTTACGTGTAACAGCCGCCTTAGAGATCCGTTCGTCAACATACAATCATTTTGGCGTTCTTAATTCAAATCGTTATCCCAGATTCTTTCAGAGATAAACAATATAAATTTTCCAACAATCTAATATGATTTATTTACAGATCATATATGGCAACAGTCGGTACAAATATACGAGACGGCACTGGACAGAACTATAGCATTATAGGGAACTATACCCACCCGGATTACGCTATGAACCTAGCAAAGAACGACTTGGGGATCCTCATCACCAATACCAGCATTATATTTTCACTTTTGGTGGATCAAGTCACTTTAAACTTTAATACAGTTGGCGAAGGGGTGTATGTTGTGATATATGGGTACGGCAGTAGTGGGGTAAGTACTTAACACCCAATTTCGATCTAGATTTTGTTGTTGCACCGACATCGGACATAAAAACGCCGAGTACGATTTGATATTACAGGTAATAATATTATAGTAAAAGTAATAATATAATATAATATAATATAATATAATATAATATAATATAATATAATATAATATAATATAATATAATATAATATAATATAATATAATATAATATAATATAATATAATATAATATAATATAATATAATATAATATAATATAATATAATATAATATAATATAATATAATATAATATAATATAATATAATATAATATAATATAATATAATATAATATAATATAATATAATATAATATAATATAATATAATATAATATAATATAATATAATATAATATAATATAATATAATATAATATAATATAATATAATACAGTAGAACCTCGATAACGTAAACCTCGGTAACATAAAAACCTCTGTTACTTCAAAAAATACTATGTTCCCTTCCATCCCAAAACCTCTATAACTTAAAATACGCAACCTCTATAACGTAAAAAATATTAACGTAAAATCTCTGTATAGGCCCTCAGTAACTAAAAGAAATGTTTCCACAACCTCTATAACATAAAATTGTTTGTGAATGAGTCATTTTATAAGAGTGTCAAAACAAATGGTTTCGGTATTTATTGCTTGCACGTGTTTACTAATGTATTGTTAACGTAAACAATACATTACCTATTGTTTGCTTTATCTAAATTCTTCAAAGCTTTGCGGCGGTTAGCTTTGTGACAACGACTTACTTGCATCATAAGTTAATGTGTTAATGTATTCTCCTCTCTATTTGTCATTGAAAATCAAATCGATTATAAACAGTGAATTTTTTAAAACAAAAGAAAATCAGTTTTTTTAAGTAGACTAAACCTTTAGTTGTTGTTTTATTTTTATGTAATGTAAGTAATGTGAATAAATATGATTAAATATTTAATTTTCCATCCTTCTGATGCATTCAAGTAAAAATGGGAGGAAGGGTACATAGAAACATGTACATACCTCTATATTAGCCTTTACCTGACATAGAACCTTGATAACTTAAAACCTCGATAACATAAAATATTTTGTGTTTCCCTTGGACTTTATCTTATCGAGGTTCTACTGTATAATATAATATAATATAATATAATATAATATAATATAATATAATATAATATAATATAATATAATATAATATAATATAATATAATATAATATAATATAATATAATATAATATAATATAATATAATATAATATAATATAATATAATATAATATAATATAATATAATATAATATAATATAATATAATATAATATAATATAATATAATATAATATAATATAATATAATATAATATAATATAATATAATATAATATAATATAATATAATATAATATAATATAATATAATATAATATAATATAATATAATATAATATAATATAATATAATATAATATAAGTAATAATATAATAATAATAATACCGATTTTCTCATGTAGGTATTTAGAGCACATCATGTATGTCACATTTCTCATGTATAATCTTTTACCTAATGTCAATATAGGGCTTGCCATTTAAGTATCTTAATAATAATATATTAGAAGTATTGCTTATCACTAAGCAGATTACTAAGGGACAAACATACGTAATTAAAACTGCTTATAACCGGTGCAAAATGTGTCACATACTCTATAAAACTTGTGACTGTTAATATAATTTATATATTTTATTTTATTAATTAAATTTCATTACTTAAAGGTATTTAAAGTCTCAAAAGAAACCAAATCAATAGCAAATTGATCAGAAATATATCTGAAACGTCTAAAGAACTTTGACTACAAAGTGGTACGAAGTTATTTAAACCATTTCAAAGATGTTAACTTCAATAATCTTTTGAGTTGAATTTCATAAACTTTCTAATTAGGAAAATTGAGTTGTGAAACGTGCCGGAGTCTGTTACAAAATTATTAATGAAACTAAAATTATATATAATAATCCGTGCAGAATTTATTACTAAAATCAGCAAGGCTATTCTGTTAAAACGCTTTGCGTATATGATTGGTAATTTCATATCGGTAAGAAAAAAAAAAAATAAGCACAAATATATCTTATTTTCAAAAGATAGTATCGGTGACCCCAAAGCTGGTATTTTCCTCTCTCAACGAATAAGTATCGCAATACAGCGAAGAAATGCTGCCACATGGATCAAACTTTTCAAATTTGTTTTAATTTTCTATTTATTAATTTTTAATTATTTTTACTGTTACAATGTAGTTTAAGAAAATTGTAAATACTGTATATTTCATTGTAGTAATTAATTAAAACTGAATAGATATATCTAATATATAAAATTCTCGTGTCGCGGTGTTTGTAGTTAAACTCCTCCGAAACGGCTTGACCGATTCTCATGAAGTTTTGTGTGCATATTGGGTATGTCTGAGAATCGGACAACATCTATTTTTCATCCCCTTAAATGTTAAATATTTTTATTTTTAGATATTTTTTTCTGTTTTTATTTTTTTATGATACAGCATTAAAAAATACATACAACCCCTAACTTTCACCCCTCTACGATCAACCCCTATTTTTTATTATAAATGATATACATGGTAAAACGACGTTTGCCAGGTCAGCTAGTATAAGTATAAAGTGATAAAATTAACTCTCGAGTGGTAAAATATGTCACATTCTTTATTTTAAGTAAAAAATATGTCACTACGTGCTCTGTTTTGATTTTGCTACGTTCCAATAATTTACTTTACACAGTCGACGTCAAAGGACTGTTAGTGCCTAATTCCCAGAACTAAATGTATCAAAGACAGTATATTTGTAAAATATTGTTTGGAAAACAAATTTCTTCAGGCTGATTCACGCCAGCTAATATAAGTATTTTTTTAATAGTAAAAACGCAGTTTTTTAATAGAATAAATTATAGGTAGCCAGGCAAAAATTTATATTAAATAGCAAGTCAGTCACAGCCTATAAATCAAAACCACATTATTTCTTATGGCACAGGTGAAGAATCCTCTAAGCACGGAATTAGAAGAACTTGGGATGTTCACAGTGAATTCGTCGTACTGCTTTGAAGAAACCCAACGTGTGGCTAAAGAGAAGTTAGGCTTTAGTCCTCCGCACGTGTATCCAGAAGCAGAGATATGTGCCTTTGAAGGGTTTGGGAAAGGCACTTGTAAGGTATGGCATTTGCTTTAAAGATTTACCCTTTGACTATAATTTGTAGAGCAAGACTAAGCATTACATTCTTGATAAAATCGTATTAAAAGCCATTAACTAAAACACCATTTTCATATTCAATATGAAATATATATATTGTATAGGAAATCACCTTTTGGATGGCAATCAAGGTTTATAAGACAAAAACATTAAAAGATCTCCTACTAGAGTTTTTAAAAATCGACTTAATATAGGTACTACTTTTGTAAAAAAACGTGTGTGTTACGCGTTAGAAGTTACACTTCGTTGGCGTAACAAGAAAAAACGACACTAACAATAGAAAAAAACTAAAATGTTGACTATAGCTAACTTCAGGGTGTCGGTTTTTAAGACTCATTAACGTCAAAGAAGTATAACTTCAAAAATTATTCTATTAATGATTATTTGCGTGAAACGTTATAATTAAAAGTAATTTGATAACGTAAATATATTTTAATAATGTGATGTTCTATCACTACAAATAATATAAGAATAGTTATATGACTCATAATGTATGTAACTTCTATATAAAATTCATTTTAAGACAAATTTTCACGCCATTATGTGTGGCAGAATATGCGAACTTTAGATTACCACCATAACCTTTTTGTACCATACTTTTGCAAATAATAATTATTTTTATTATTACATGGGTGGTTTGAAATATTATATCAATAACATTTTAAATTCCATTCATTAAAAAAATCTTGTCTGTCAACATAAATCTGTCTTTATCTGTTGCTTAAATTTTGAGATTTGTTTAAACTTCTTTCAATGCAGTTTATTGTAATTTTGTCGAAATTTTCTTAGTATTGATATGTTTTCGTGCTAACATGACGCGTTCTAGTACAAATCAAAATCATCTATCTCGCTGTCGTTGTCGTCAGCTTACTCTTCTTTTGATTTATCGTATTACATCTTGAAGGTACAAATACAGCCAACGATATTTTATTACAACTTTTTTTGTATACTGTATGAGTAACGTCATCGCCAATCTGCGTTTACAAAGCACTGCGACGTCATACCATGAGACGTGCTTACGAAATTCCTGCCGCTAAGGATATGTAGAACTTCTGGAACATAGCCACTGGGGTCATTGGGCCGGCAGTCAGTGGTTATGCTGGACGAGGACTTTACGACACTTGTAAAAGTTAGACCATGTTAGCTGGAATAGAATTTAGGACACATTTTAAACCATATGTTTTTGAAGTTATACTTCTTTAGGCGCGTTATGAAAAATTGATGAGAGTGAAATTTTACGATGCGCGCGCACCGTGACACAAAATTAAGAGAATGAAGTTGCCCACGGAAGATGCTACGGCATTGGACATAATTTAAAAACAACATTCGAATAATAATATAATTTATGTTACACTTAATGTAAGAGAATAATAATAAATATTTATTTATTTAATTTTTCAAATGTAAACTGAACTTTTTTGACTATAATGACTCCTTTTCCAGTCTTTGATTATTTAATTGTAATTAATTATTTGCATGCAATCAAAAACTATTATTAATAATGCCAAAGAAGTATAACTTCTTACGCGCGTACATAAGTACACGCACCCTTTTTTTATATTAATGATAATAAATCTATAAACAGCTTTAGAAAGGCCATTATATAATATAATTATTATTTCAGGGTGATTCCGGTAGTCCTCTGGTATGTGCAGATAATTATCAACAGGTCGGCATCACATCTTGGGGTATACCCTGTGCATTAGGTGCCCCAGACATCTTCACTAGACTGAGTTTTTATAAAGAATGGATTCTTAGCGTCCTAGACAAGATGGGGTACAAAGATCAGTTAAAGTACTCAATGGACAAATGTTCTTCGATTTACGACAATTTTAATTAGAATGTTGAATTATATTACAAACTCTATTCCATCAAACAGAGAAAATAAAATTGGTCTTCGAATTTATGTGCGATTTTTAAATTAAGATCCCATTTAATAAGTTAGCGAATTTTTTTAATGTAGTAGGAGCAAACTGGCAGGAGGCTGTTAAGTGATACCGCCGCCCATGGACACTCATATTGCCTGTAGGCTCGCAAGTCCGTTGCCGGGCTTTTAAGAATAGGTAAGCTGGTTGAGAAATATCTCGACGGTCAGCAACAAAAAAATCCTTAAAAACGCTCAGTTGTGGAACGACGGACGTCGAGGTGATACGGGTGTAATTAAGTGTTCGTATTCTGCCTCGACGTTCGATGATAAAACTCAGCTTGATTAATGGGACTCCTATTGACACTCTTCATGGTCAATGCGGTAGAAGATGCATAGAGACCCAATATCTCTAAGCAACGCTAAGCGATCAAGCCTATCGGATGCTTGGCTTATAGTTAGAACAATTTAATAAGCTTAGTATAACTACATCAACTGAAGTATATATTTATGTATGTAGGTATTTTTTCATTAATGAACGACTTTTTATAAACTGTGTCTTTGGTAATTACGTCTACTAGTATGTCTTTGAAATACAATTCTCTGTAAACCTTGGCTCATTATATTTAAAGATATTTGCTTGCATTGAACTGGTAATACCAATAATTATTATTCTTCTTTTTTTGCTGCTTCTCCATTCCTGGACGTTGGCCGTCAGTCACGGGAAGCGTGTCAGATGCAGCAGCAACAATAATAATTAATATCTGTAAAATAGAAAAGCCTTATTTCTATCGTATATATCACTATATACAAAATGACCATCTAATCTTCAGTACCTAACGACGGAGTCACCTTGGAGTCACCTTTACGACATATGCCTGCCCTAAACTATTTCATCTCATCTCTTGCCAACCTCTGTACAAATGTATCTTCACGTACTCTATGGTCTACCATGTTTTCCTGTATGATTTTATGGGGTTATGTTACGATTACTGCAAACCCTGCCCATCTCCTTAACTTTTTAATTCCTAAAACTATTCGAAATTAATACTTATACAAAAGTAAACAAAATCAGTGGCGTTACAAATTAGGTCTAGGCCTCAGATATCTGTATCTGTTTCACGATCAATCAATCTAATAGGCAAGTAGGCGATTAGCCACCTGTGCCTGACACACTGACAGGCAAACCGGTTTCATCACAGTGTTTTCCTTCACCGTTCGAGCGAATGTTAAATACGCACATAGAAGAAAGTCCATTGGTGCACTGCCGGGGATCGAACCTACCACCTCAGGGATGAGAGTCGCACTACAACTACACTACACTACTTATACAAAAGTATTTAGTACGTTTATTAAAACCTAAACATAACAATCAACCTACACAGTAATAATAAAAATAATTAAAAAGTAATAAAAGGAAAACCAAAACAAATTTAAAAAGTGGTCCCTGGCAGCATTTCCTCGCTTAAAATACAAAAAAAAAAGTACTAAAAATTATATAATATCTAGGTAGAACGAACTCGTATAATACTTTAAAGCCATACAACAACATCCGGTGATTTTCTTTGTGTAAAATATGTTCAAAAGCTTACAAAGAACCGCACTCAGAAGATACATTTTAACATTAGAAAGCATTCTTGCTTCAGATTTGAAGGCGCTCAAAATAAAGGAATTCTAAAGATCTTTACCGAGGCATTCTCACTTTCGAGACGAGAAAGAGCATTTGGTTTTAAGAGGCGATCAAACGATAAGTCGATATTGTGATCCTTTGTCGTCGGCGATTGTGTCGAATGCAATATCGTTTTGATTTATTCCTTACGTGTGTATATTGTGAAATATTGTTAGGTTGATATTGATAATGCATCTTGAAGCGTTTAATATGTAAACAAATTGTGTTTGCTGGAGTAATAGCGCTGGTATCAGCTGCCATTTTCATTTATTAAATAACATCAAAGTCAAATTAGTTAGTCGTTAATTTATAGATCAAGCAACATATTACTATAGACTATCAAAAAGTCTGTTAATCTGTAGATTTATTAATATTGGCAAACAAATAATTAATAAACCATATTACGGTTTTAACTAATTTGACTTTGATGTTATTAAATTATAACGAAAATGCTGATATCAGCGCCATTACGGCGACATATATTATGCCTAAAAAGTGTGTAAGAGAACATTGAATACCAAGTTATGTCTATAGAAAACCGCAGTAACGCAAGAAAATAAATTACAATTTATTGAAATAAAAACACGTCGTCTTGGCCTCAGATTTCTGAATCTGTTTCATGATCATTTTTAAATCTAATAGGCAAGTAGATGATCAGCCTCCAGTGCCTGACACACGCCGTCGACTTTTTGGGTCTAAGACATGTCGGTTTCTTCACGATGTTTTCCTTCACCGTTCGAGCGAATGTTAAATGCGCACATAAAAAGAAAAAAATTGGTGCACAGTGAGAGTCGCACGCTGAAGCCACTAGGCCAACACTTCTCTTTTAGAATCTACATAATGCTAAATAATCTGCATCATGAGCACACCCCACACCTTCACGTGCATACCCTGACCCTTTCACACCATTACACAACAGCCGAATTAAGTATTAGTTAGTTAAATGTATTTAATAATTTTTATTGCTTTTATCCCTTTCGTTTTTTTTGAACCTTTATATTTATTTATTTACACTTCGTTACATTTATAAAAAAATAAATAACATAATCCAGGCAACCCTAGCAAAAACTAAAAAAAAAATATAGTGGGTAAAGTGCAAGAAGTGCATAACTAAATCTTATAAAGAAATTATAGAGTCATCCACCTTAATCTAAAAGAATGCAACATTTTTTAACTAAATACCTAATTTCACGGATTCATGAATTGCGATGCAATAATAATGAGAAATACTGTAACAGTTCGTATTTGGTTTATATTTTTTTGAGGACATTGTTTTTATATTAAGCTTGATTTAATTAATAAATACATTGCATTACAGTTGTACATTACATTACAAATCTAATGCAAGCGTAGAAGCAGTGAATTCAAATTATCTAGCTCAATCTCGTTGTACGGAAATGAAAGTATAAAATATGGCAGCCCTTAATTATATTTGCCGAGACATCGCTTGAATAGGAAATGGCCTGCGCCGAGTAAATATTTAGCGTGAAGAAAAAGTAAAGCCAACAGAACTTGGGCTATGACATTTACTTAATTCAGCAAATTGTGAATATTAAAATTTTTGAGTTCGTCTTTTTTACTGATCTTCGGGGTCACCTTTCGTACACTAGTGCTTCTTCATGATCTTTGTGGAAAAACTTTTTCCTTTATCTGGCATTTTCCTTTTTTTATGATTGCTTAAACTTTATAAATAAACTAGGAGTACAAAACCGCTAAGGGACGTTATGGCTTGAGGGGTCATATAGTACAAATTGCTATACTTAGAAACTAAATGAAAATACAAAAAAATATGTGTGGCACTCGGGGACTGCCGCGGTAAAGCTATTGCATAGCATTTTTTATAAACTTATGCAATATAATTATTTATTCATTTTTTGCAGTATTTTTTTTCTTTGATATTAATTCAATCTACCACTCTACTAGACTCAGACTAACACGCCTATCCGATCACGCTAAACCGATGTAAGACGCAGTATGCGTTCTGTCCCGCCCTAACGCGTATTGGCCGCACCTATATTACGTCATCGCGTGTTAGGTTTATTTCGTTACGGAATTTCTTGATTCGGTCGCCGCGCTCAAAGCCCGCGATAAAATCTATACAATAGCTTAAAAAAATTAAATATGTTTAATAAAATATTCTTCTTTCTATATGTAGAAAGAAGAACATTTTATTAAATGCTAATCAAGTATAATTCTTTCGCATTAATAGTTTGTATATTCATGTACTATTTATAAAACGTACGATGAATAAAGTGTACATACAATACTATTGAGCGTTTTTAAGGCAGCAGTTTGCCGCGCACCACCACTATGTGGAACCAGCTGCCCACTGAAGTATTTTCGAACCAATTCAACTTAGGGTCCGTCAGGAAAAGAGCGTACCAATTTTTAAAAGGCTCGCAAACCTTCTGGCATTGAGAGTGACAATGGGCGGCGGTACCACTTAACATTAGGTGAACCTCCTGCCTGTTTGCCCACTGTTCTATAAAAAATAATGGATTAGTATCAGTTATTATATGTAAATATATAAATATAGTTCTACATTTACAATCAACAAGTTTAATTTGTTCCCGCAAACCCCACAACTTCCACATTACTTCAAATTCTGATAAGAAATAAGTGGTTTATACTTCCTACTCGTATTAGCAGTTTTATGGCAATGTCTCCTCTCCGAATCAATGTACTCCTCGATCACAATAAAATCCTCGTCACTACAATGAATAGACTACATTTTTTTGGACTCTATTTTAATAGGAACGGAGGTAAGAAGTAAAAAACAATAAGTGTCCATTCACCTCGGTTGTTTTGCCGCTTTTATAAATACAAAATACATACATCCAAAGTATCATAATTAAAAACAATGTTTTCATTATTAAAACACTCGTAGTTCAGCGCGATTGGCGTCACACAATATTATTCTAAAATTTTCTCAACAACTGGGCGCCCGAACCGCAAAGAAGTTAATACTTGGATAAGTTGTTCAAAGAACAAAGCTTCATAATTAACTGAGTTTCAGTTAATACTTAACTTAGTCGTTGCTTTATTCACGTCCAGGTGTTTAATAGGACCTTTTTTGTTAAATTTTTAATTTGCTAAATCTTATGAGAGAGTGAGTCTTGTTTAATTTTGTTTTAATAATAACAATCCAGTGCTATTTTTTTGAAATTATTATAATTGTTGCACATTTTTGGGAATAAGCAGACGTTAATACTAGGGCCATACTGACACAGCAATATAACAAAGTATAATATAAAGACACACATTGGCTATTTGTGTTTCTATAATTAAGAAAATGCGTTTATTAATT